TAATATTCCATTGTATATATGTACCACATCTTTTTTATCCAGTCATCTACTTTTGGGCATTTGGGCTGCTTCCAAAACATCAGTTTTTTAAAGGAGCAGCATATAAAATCAATTTGTGAACGTCAGCTATATTTATATAAACAAACAATGAGTTAGAAGAGAAAGAAATTCAAGAAAACAGTTATTTGAAAACAATCTTATTCACACTTTCAACGCAAAGAATTAAATACTTAGGAGTAAACGAAATGAAGGAAGTGAAGTAACTATACAATGAAAACTATAAAACATTATTAAGAAGGGAAAGATGCATGCTTTTAGATTAGAACAATTAACATTGTTAAAATGTCCATCCAATCCAAAGCAATATATTGACTCAATGCAATCCCTTCAAGATTCCAGTGACATTCTTCAAGGAAATCGGACAAAAATTAATGAAATGTTTATGAAACCATGAAAGACCCTGAATAGAAGCTCCTGACAACAGAGGAGAGGAGTGTGGTATCACACGCCCAGACTTCACATTAGACAAGAGCTATAGTAATATCAAAAGTACCATGGTACTGAAACAAGACATATCCACAGACCAATGGAGCAGAATTGAGAATCTGGAAATACGCCCATGCATCCGTAGGCAGTGACTCTCTGACAAAGCAGCCAACAGGATACACTGGAGAAAGACGAGTCTCTCCAACAAATGTTACTGGGAAAACTTGACAGCCATATGGAAAAGATTTAAACTAGATAACTATCACATACTTACACAAAAAGTATCTCAAAATGGATCAAAGACATGATATCAGGCCTTGAAACTATAAAATATGTTGAAGAAAAAAACTCTATCGAGTTTCTTCCATACATGAACTCTAAGAGTTAGAAAATATTTCCAGATTTATTTTCTGACACTATATACCTAATCATGCTTCTCTTTATCTGCCTAAAAACTTCTGGTATCACACAGGACATGTTCATAGTCTTTGTTCCTAAAAACCCTGGCCCTATCTCTATAAATCACAGGGCAGCTGGGACAGTGGTCAACAAGATTAGAAGTCATACCTATGTCAGAAGGCTACTACTAACTTAACTATATACAGAAACAACTGCATAATATATATCCCACCTAACAATATCCTTTACTAAAATACAACTCCTTCACCAGATCTCCAAAATTCCTCTGGTCAGTCTAATGCCACCAAACCTGAAGGTATGATAGTGAGTATATCCTAGTAAAAAGGGACAAGATTTAACTAGTTAAAAAAACCTTTGCAGTGCTCCTGGTGGCACAGTGGGTTAATGCACAGCACTAACAAGCTAAAGCCACTTCAGCATGAATTTGATCCCTGCCTTACAAACATAGCTGGTGGCTATGTTTGTGTATATACACATGGACAAAACCTTAGCATTGTTCACACAAGATTAGTACTTTACAGTATTTATGCCAAGCATCAACAGGAAGAAGGGAGAAGAAACTGTTAAGAATTAAGTCAGAACATGGTAGCACAAATCCGATGTGAATACTGAAAACCTGTGTGTTTTCTACCCTGCACTGTTGCTACAAGAAAACCCCAGATTCTCGTCAGGGGCATGTAAGCAGAGGCTTGTAGACACTCTCCTAGGTGCCAGCAGACTCTATAGTGATGGAGCCGGTACAGGGAAGGGCAGGTCTGGCGTCAGCTTAGATCAGACCTAAACTCTACCAGAGACTGGTTACTTATGAGCCTGTTTCTCCCTGTCTATAAAACAGACCTGGTAATTCATGCTATTTTCTTCACAGGTTTGTTCTGAGGATCAAATGAGGTGACTGATGAAAAGTTCCCAGGCCACAGTAGTGTTCAATAAATTGTAGCTAGTTCTCTCTAGTTCAGAAAGTTCATTGGATAGCCAAAGAGCATGACAAAAATGGTAAAAACAGTGATCACAATAACAGTGACAATAGAACGACCTCATATTTCCATACTGCATGATGGTTTATGACAAACTTCAATAGAATTTACCTCATCTGACTTGCTCTCAATCACTCTAAGTGAACTGAATCAGTGCCTCTCACTGTAGGTCTGTCTGGTATTCCTGCAAAGGAGGAAGGGTTGGTGGGCATTCTTATAAATCAGCAGTGCTAGACCACAGCTTTGTGAGAGTGATCTTGCTAAGTCACTGAAACCCTTGGCATTAACCAACGTCAGCAGCCACATGGCCACCACTCTTCTCAAGTCTCCCCATATTAAGTGTCTTGGCCTGATAGGACCCAACCTGTGCTTCACACTCACCAAGATTGATCTAGACCTTTCTGGGCTGACCTAGCTCATTCCCAGGGACCTACCAGCTGTACTGCTTCCTTGACTCCATGGACTGAAAGGGCCTCCTGGGTCAGGAGATGAAGGATCCGGTTGCTGTGTGCAGCCTCCTTCCCTCCTTTGAGTAACAAGCCATTACCACTTGCAATAGCCAAGGCTGCCACCTGCACACGAACAGAGAGGAATGAGAGACAAATGTTAGCCTTCACTGAGCATTTTTTTGTGTTAAGCACTGTGTTAGTCACTTTATCAGGCCCGTCCTGTTTACTGTTCACAACATTCCAGTGAACTAAGTATCTGTTTATCCCTCACCTTACTCTGAAGCCCAGACTGGTGACTTGGCGAGGTCACAAAGCTTGTTAAGAGGCAGGACTAGGAGCCTTTACCTCACAGCCAAAACCCTTCATCTTTGGCATTAGCTACATGGCTTTCTTGGCACCATTAGCAAGCGCCCTGAGATAAGCAGCCAGGGCTGCATGGTTCCCTTCCTTCAGCCTCAGAGGAGGAAAGGGGGTGAGAAGCTGCCTCCTTGCAGTACCTCTGATCATCCTGCTCTAGCTCCGCGATTGTTCTGACAGCTCTAAATAATTGCTGTGAAGAACCTGGAGAAGGCTAGCACTCCCCAAGCGTCTGAGACTGGTGGGTATACATGCCTGTTTGGGGAAGAAAAGAAAGGCTATCCAAGGGGAGGGCTAGTTATCCTTTCAGAATAGAGTTATGACACTGACCTGGTCACCCAAGGCCTGAAGCTTACCTTTCAGTATGCTCTTGGGATGAAAGAAAATCCTCCTGATTTTGTAACATGGTGGAAGAAACGTCACTAAAAAAGCCTTGCCTGAACATGTTAATCATCAGATTAGTGTTTTCTTACTCTGTTTTTGTTGCTCACAGATGCCTTATAAAAGTTATTTAAACTTTTGTAAATGCACAAAACACACAGAATTCTAATGTACCCTTTCGGATTCATGGATTCTGTGATGTCTTCAGGGTTAAGACCTGTCTTCAGGGTTGGCTAAAGAAGAAACCTTTCTCCTTGTGAAGTATCAGATAAAAGGCAACAGAGAGAATCTTCAAGGACACTATCTACTGAGAGACTTAGTTTCCATTTCTACTGGCCACCTATACTTCTGCAGTTTTCGCTGGGGCATTGCTGCAAGACGGGTGGGAGCTGCAGGGTATTGTGCTAAGACCAATAGGGCTGAAGACAGACCCCTGATGGCACGAGAGTCTCTTGGTGAACAGGCTGGTTTCGGGTCACATCAGGCTGTAGCCTCTGGACTCGCATGGTCTCCTATGCCCTATAGTAAAAAGAGGATCATTTTTATGTTTTTAAGAATTTCTTTTTGAGATTTCTGGAGAGTGAAGAAAGAGCTGGAGAGTGAAGAAAGAAATCCAGTAGGGAAATGGCCCCAGGTCTGTGGGAGAATTTACAGCAACTGTGAGGCTGTCCGCTAACACCTACTTGTGCTCCCGGTGTGACTGCTTGGCAAGGCCTTCTCCACATCAGCCTGTGCTATGCCAAGTCCCTTGAAGAGGGCTGTATTCATTAACTACTTGAAAGCCCTTTTTCCTGAGATGTATACCTACAGGAACCATCTGTGACACTGCTACTGTCAAAAAAAGGAGTCTTTCTCACATGGGTAAACACAGCTATTATCTGAATCCTGAGAAGGCTAGTCGGGACTCTGTGATCAGAACAAAAGAGCACCAGCGAGCTACACCATCAGATGTGCCCCTGTGGCGGTGTGCCAGAATTGTTTGGCTCAAGGCCCAGCTCCACCCTTACAAGAGTGACAGGAACATTAACATTTATAAGCTTATGTTTCTTCAACAGTAAAATGGACATATAAACATCTACTTTAGAATCACTGGATAGATCAATAATATGAATTACATTCAGAATAAAGTCTTAAAAATTATCTTTGTGTGAATGATTGTTTCACTTGAAAAGAAAGAAAAGGAAGGAAGTAGAAAACGTATCTCTGGGAGATTTATCTTTCCAATCCTGAAAAGATACTTTTCCTCAAATCCGCCCACTTACACATGGCAGGTGTCCGTCACATACCTGGGGTAGACAGTCAGGGCGAGATTCAAAGATCACCAGCAAAACTCCTATTGGGACAGTCACTTGTTCTAGTTCCAAATTTTTGGCAACTCTGGTCCGGCGCAAAACGCGTCCCACACTACACTGTGAGGAGGCTGCAATCTGCCGTAGGCCGATGGCCAGGCTGTTCAGTTTAGATGTGGAGAGACTCAAACGTTTCAACAGAGGCGCTGCGAGTCTCCCTGTGGGGTGTGGGGAGTACAGGACAAAGCAGTAAGTCTAGAAGGTCTAAAGTAGAGTAGGTTCTTGCTGTTTTTGCTGAGATGTAGCTCTGCTGTGGGGGCAGATGTGGGACTCGGGAGGTCCCGGACATGCCACTTGCAGAACTCCTCTGGGGCAGCCTGGGAGACTGTCACGCCAAGGCGCACACACCCACTCCCTGTGTGCCAGCAATTTTAGCTCCAGAAACTTATCATTTACTTGGGGAAACTTGCATGTGATGAGGATACACACCACAGCATTCTTGTAATAGTAAGAAAATGGCTTCTGCCTTCTAAATTCAGACAATAGACTACAATGCAGTTATACATGATATGTATAAATACATCTTGTATCTTCCTGTATTAGTAAATAGATATATATGTATTCACATATTAATGTATGAATCTGGGATTTAGTTTGTGAAAAGAGCAAACCACGATGAAGCAGGGATGATATGCTATTTATCAAGCAGGCATTTATACATATACACAGGCTGACTTCTGGAAGGCATCAAAAACAGTATTTTTTGCTAGATCTCTATTTGTCTTCTGTATAAAATTTTTATAAAAAGTGAACTGTTATATTAATCAGAAGCAATGCAGATGCTTTCTTTTCAAAGAAAAACAATACAATGTCATGTCAACAACTATGGTAAGTTCATATACAGACCTTTCTTCAAATTTAAATAGAATAGTAAGCATGGTGAGAATCTCTCTACATATGTGTGTATATACATATATGAGTATATACATACATACTCAGGATATATCACAAGTTATTACTATGGTTAATGCTGAAAAGTGACCCTGAAAAATTTCCCTTTCTTTTATGCAGTCACACCCACCAGAACAAAATTAAGATTTCTACTTTAGATGGGTGGAATTAACCTTATATTAAAAAGAAATTAAAGCATCATTCTCCACCAATTATATCAAATTGCTCCACTTTTCGCCATGTGCTAAAAATCAGTTGTTTTTTTTTTAAGATTTATTTATTTATGCATACACAACTGGGGCACAGGCCAGAGGCGCAGGGGCGGCGAGAGGACCCACCAGAGACAGAATGGGGAGCAGAACAGGCAGATCAACAAAGTCCACAGCTGAGGGGAGCAGCGGGCAGGCCAGGAGAGGTCTGCCGGGCCACGCAGGCCACCTCCAGGGCAGGCGGGAATCGAACCCATGCTGAGGTGGCTCCAGCTTTTCAGTGCCATGCTTCAACCAGCTGCACCACCAGGGAGGGCCCAAAAATTAGGTTTTAATTATAGCCTATTATTAGATGTTACATTCTAGTTTCTCATATCATGACAACTGCACATTTTCCATATTACATAAATTATTTTATATTAGCAAATATTTTATTAACTTGATACAACTTAATGCACTCATACCTATGTTATCAAATAGTAATGCTGTCAGCATTTTTACATATAGAACTATTTTCCTCTTGAAAAATTCTTAAGATACAATTTCTGAGGTGGGCTTACCTTTAAATCACAGGGAATTACAAGCACAGGCATACCCAGGGCTTTGTTCCTAAGCCACTGTGCATCCTTGTGAATGTCCAGAGAGACACCTGGTACTCTAAGTCCCAGGGTAAGCCCACCTCAGGCAATGTATCCTAATACTGCAAAAACTCTAAGTTCCAAAATAATGGCTCAAAAATGCTTTAAGGAGTGAAAATCATGTTCATGAGTCTTGCAAGCTTTCTTTGAAAGGAATACCACTAATTTGGATATTTAATTTAAGGCATATTTATTCAGGAGAAAAGATACTAAACTCTGTAACATCAACCCACATTATTTTAGGGTGGAATAGACAGTCTGTTGCCTGAAATGTGAAATCAGTCACCTTACTCACTCCACCATAAACAACCCAGGAAAATTTCTGGATGGCATGCTAATTCTAGGCAGACTACATGCTCATTAACTAAGACATAAGCTCTATTTTCTTACAAGTGGCACACACCATTTCTACAATATTTTACATGCATAATTCATCTTGGTTTGATTTGCAGATCAGAAACTAGCTATTGGCTTTAGTAAGTGGTAACTTCTCTGTCCTTCAGTTCTATCCGCTGTAAAAGGGGATAATAAATAGTAGCTACCTTATAGGTATTATATTGTAAAGATAAAATAACACCCTTTTTGTAAATCCTTAGCACAACTCCTGGCAACATAGAAAAGTCTCAATAAAGGTTAGCTGTGTGTTTTAAATCTGCGAGATCATGAATATTTCCCTATTTTGTCCTGAACTGATCTTAGCAGCAATGGCGTGTGAGCTACAGGGCATGGAAAAAGCCCACTTGGAAGGTAATACTAGAGTATCTGGGAGTTTGAAACAGTCCAATGAACACTACCACCTAACCTCAATGAAAATGATGCACAATATGGACCTTCCCTGGGTGCATAGTGCAGCACTATGAAGCTATCCACAGCCCCTGCAGCACCAGTTTGATTCTGGCTAGGGAGGTGACCCACATGGCACGGCAGACCTCTCCTAATCTGCCCGCTGCTCCCCTCAGCAGTGTATTCCAGTAATCTGCCTTTTCTGCTCCCCACTCTGTCTCTGGTAAATCCTCTCACCCCACTTCTATCTGGCCTGTACCCTAGTTCTTGTATGCATAAATAATCTTTTAAAAAATGATGCATAATATACAATGCAATGTTGTATGTCTTGCTATATTTTAAAACAATAATTATTCTACAGACCATAAGAATTGTTGTTAAATAAAGAACAAAAACCAAAACTTTTGAAACAATGACTCTAAATTGATAGATTTTTACCCTCTGCCTCTTCTAAGTCTTTTTTGTTGGCTAACAAGATCTCATCACGCTGGTCCGTCAATAGATCAGCCAAATGATGGATAATATCTGCTCTCTAGGAAGAAGGAGAAATGTTAAACAAATAAGCAAACATGTAAATCCAAGAATGTAGGTCACACCTGTGAACCATCTCCTCTGAACATGCCAGGCCTCCTTGCCCTTAAATCCAGGGTCATGTCTGAAATCTCCTTACTTCGTGCCAGTCAGTTTTCATTATTGCTCACCTCTTTCCCCTCCGCTAATCTCTCCCGTTCTTCTTTTCTTCCTCTTTTACCTGATTATTATGATTAGCAAGCCAAGGCCCAGTGTGAGCTGGCTAGTAGCTGGCCTCTCATGGGCAACTGTGACCTATTTGCTGCCTGAAAATCACAGCAGAGCATTCCTTGATGGCCTACAGTGCAGCCCATACCACTACCTCCAGGCAGGACTGGGAATGTCTAGGCTGCTGTTGACCTGATTACATGACTATCTGCATCATACTTGGTTGACGCCAAAAATGTCAGCAGATATGTCTCTTGACACATGGCCATGATGTCCCCTTCTCTGTTTCTTGTCAGACTTTGTTCCCCATTCCAATTCTACCTTCTGTACTTTATTGCTCATATCACTGTCATATGATCAGTATGATCAGCTTTTATTAGCCCGTATGATTTCAATAAATGGCACAAGAACTTCCACTCAAGTAGCAGCTTTTGCTTTGCAAAGCTGCTCCATGCCCTCATAGCCCTCCTGCTGTAAGGTGGCAGCAGAGTTCCTGTCGAAACAGTCCAGCAGTGGGGGAGGGGGCATAATAAACAGCACAATCTGTCATGAGTTAGGGGCCAGCACTTTGAATCAATATGACGCAACTAAGTGATATTTACTATCACTTGCTATATAGTTTATTTCCCAGGTAAGTTCTTGCATCTAAGTTTTATTTTGACGTTTATTTTTGACAGTTATTTAATGAATTCAAATAAAAGGGGAAAAGGTGCTTGAGGCAATCCCAATCTTACCCACCCAGATAGGACATGTGAGTCAGTGTGGGGCTTACAGGAGTAAAGGGTGCTTTAAGGGAAGAAAAGTAGTATTTCCTTGCTTTCCTTTCTCAGAGTTATTTCACATTTTCATTTCCTTTTTCAGATCAAAGCATTCCCCAGAAGAAACCAATACACATCACCCTCAAATCCATTCTTAATAACACAGTCCTTGGACAGCCACCCCCAGCTTCCACCTGACCTCCTTGCATTTCTAGCATCATTGTCTTTAGTTCAAGTGACTAAGTCACCGTGGACCCAGCAGGGCTACAATGATGGAGCAGGTTTCATATCATAGGTGAGTGAGGGGTCACCTGGAGAGGGATAAATAATTTTCCTACATTTCCATGACCAGTATGTGGGTGAAATAGGTAGCTTTCATGGTCTCATTTTGTTTTATGGTATTTTTGATAAAAACATCACAGTGATGAAAAACTAAGCCTTGGTCTAGAAAAGACAAAAGGGAAAATGAAAGTAAGAGAAAAATTAAAAAGGCACTGTGAATCTGAATCAGACATGCAAATCAGCTAACTCTGTGGGACTCTAGGAATAAAGAGGGAATCAGCAGGCTTGACTATATTAAACCTCACAGCATGACTTGCTTTGAAAATTAACAGAACTATCTACATATAAAACCAACCCTCCACTAACTGAAGCTAAGAGAAAGAATTAGTTTTCAGAGAGAGGACTATTTGGTTAATGCCCCTTTCACTTCTAAAAGTGTACCATTCCAGATCACAGAATTTCACACAAATAATCTTAACCTTCTTGTTTAAGCAGAAGGCAAGATCAAAGAATCCCAGGACTGTTACGGCATGAAGTCATTTCAGAGTCCCATCACGAGAGAACTGTCATTTTATAAGGGAGGAAATAGAATTTAAGAAATATCTTAGAATGAAAGAAGATGGTGGGTAGGAGGGGAAGTCTAAAAATAAAAATTTCTAGCTTTTCTGTAATTTTTAATAGCAGAAGTCTCAGCAGCTTCCAAAGAGCTTCAATCCTATCAGAGACAATAAAAGTTGTTTTTTAAAAATTAAACAAATAGGATCTCCCTGGTGGTATAGGGGTAAAGTGTTATGCTATCACATGCTATCACATGGCCTGAGTGAGGTGACCCATGTGGCGCAGCAGACCTCTCCTGCCTTGCCCACTGCTCCCCTCAGCAGTGTATTTCAGTAAATCTGCCTGTTCTGCTCCCCAGTCTGTTTCTGGTGAATCCTCTTACCCCCTGCACCTCTAGCCTACACCACAGTTCTTGTATGTATAAATAAATAAATAAACCTTAAAAAATTAAATAAGTAAATCATAAAAACAATGTACATTTATATAGCATCTATTCTGTGCCAGGCCCTCTTCTAAATACTTGTCATGAATAGTGAACTCATTTAATTCTCACAATAACTCTAAGAGGCAGTCAGCTTTTAACACTGTGCTACTTCCTTCTAGTTTACACATAGCTTCAAAACCATCTTTACCATTAATTGAAAAATTGTGGTCTAGAGTTTTCATTTGAGCCTAGTAGAATTAGATTATATCTGTATATTGAATATACATAGCCATTTTAAGCTCAATTTAAAGAAAACATGCTTTAGAACAAAATTCTGCAACTACGTATTATAGTCACTATTACACTGAATAATTTGTTTCATTATTTAATAAACAGTCCTTAAAGGTGTCTTTGATTATATATAACACTCTCAAAAATACTCTTGCAAAACTAATCGAAGTTTTTAAAAAGTGAAATTCCTGTAAGGCAGCTATCAGCTATTTTTTTTTTTTTTTAGATTTATTTATTTGTGCATACAGAACTGGGGTACAGGCCAGAGGCTCAGGGGCGGTGAGAGGCTTCACCAGAGACAGAGTGGGGAACAGAACAGGCAGATCAACGAAGTACACTGCTGAGGGGAGCAGCGGGCGGGCCAGGAGAGGTCTGCCACGCCATGTGGTCTCCTCCGGGGCAGGCGGGAATCGAACTCATGCGGAAGCGGCTTTAGATTCTCAGTGCTGTGCTTTAACCCGCTGCGCCACCAGGGAGGGCCTCAGCTATTTTTTTATAAATTAAAAAAATTATACTAATCTTACACTTGGGTTTTTAGACGAGGGGGCGGGAGAACATACAATACAAAAAGTTCTTCTATTGGGTATTGTTTTTCTAAACATTAGATAGTTAAAAAACAAAAAACAAAAAAACAAAACCCCTAGCAAAACTCCCAGTGAAGAAGATTACCTGCTCAGGCTCCAACGTGGCCAGTGCCCTTCCTCCAGATCGGGCCATTTCTCCCTGCTGCTCGACGGTTGGCCCTGAAAGTACATTTGTGGACACCCCATTGTGAATGTCAGTTCACTCTCCCTTGTTTCTGACCAGTAAAATGGCAAAAGAACATGTCCATAAATGCTTGCCTATTTTCTGGGGTGAACTATAAATTTTCTGCTTCCTGGAGTTCTTTTCCATGCCACAGTGGCTCCCATTCTCTAGTGCACTGCAGTTCTAGCCTTATTTTGTGAACACTGGAGAACACATACCACAGCTCCATCTTTGCAGTTCTAGTGCTTATTGGTACCTGGCAACTAGCACAACTAGCAAATATTTCTTGTAGAAAACAAGCGTTTATATTCCTCTACTTAGAGAGATTTGGGGGAGGAGACCTAGTTGAATATAATTTTATAAAAACAAACCAAAATCCAATTTTGCAAAGAGTTTTCAAACATTCCCATGTTGTCATAAATTAGCACGCTAATTTTGTAATCCAGACTCCTAGGTGAGAACTCAGTTTTCAGTCCCACCTGGGCCGTGACATCATTAGCCATCAATCACAGGCATGGGATTCTGACTACTTACCTGCAGGTTTCACTTCAGAAAAGAAGGTGCCAACTTTCTTTCCCTCTACAATGTCTGTGATGACATGCCCAGACACCTTTGGGTGGGTTCCATTGGCAATAACCACAGAAGTACCACCTTGCAAAGCCCAGAGGGCAGCTTTCACCTAATGGGAGAGGTTAGATCCAAATATAAGATTCAGACCTTTGTAGGGGTTAGCCACTCACTCTGTAAACCTGCAAGAAGATAAAAACCACAATGCGGCACTGAACAAAGCGAGTAAGTACAGGAACGTCTTCAACGCCTGAGGAGCTCTGAGTACACGCGGGGCCAAGCGCTTCCCAGCCCCACCTTGGCACGTGCTGCCCAAAGATGAGCCACGCGGCCTGTGTGTAGTCGCTCTCTGTCCATGGTGCTCCAGCCCAGGACTCAGCACCTGACTCACTGCGCTTCAACTCAGAACAGCTCAGTGAATCAGGCCCTTAGTACTTTAAGCTTTTGTAAAGAGTCTTCATCTCTGCCATGTATAACTTCTTACAGCACTTAATGGGAGAGAAAATTTCTTTGAAAATTTAATAAACAAGTATTTTAGTATGAATTATATAAAACACACAGTCCTTGTCCTTAAGGAGGGCAGATAATATAAACACACTGTAATATTAATAAAAAGAATACATGTGCAGACATGTGTAGATGTGTACACAGGCATACCACAGGCATTAAACCTCTATGTAGTTAAATACATATGTAAGTGTACAAGTCTAATATCTGAATCATTAGCTCCCAAACAATTACCAAAGTAAAAATGATAAAATACTGTTGCAGGCCATGAAGGCAAAGACTCTTACCTTGGCTTCCATGCCTCCCATTCCCACTCTTGACTTGGTTCCAAATGTCACAGACTGCTGATCTCCAGGATAAAATATATCAATGAGTTTTGCATCATCTGACCCTGGTGGGCTGTCAAAGAGACCTGGAAAGTAGGGACGAGTGGGTGATACTGCTGTAGTGGTATCCCCAAGGTAGGTCTCTGGCGCTTGCTGATCACTGTCTACTTCCCTCACCCAGATGAGTTCTGCGGCTTAATCAGCTCGAACTGAAGAGCAAACAAGGGGTCCATGTCAAGCCCCAGGAGGACCTGCCTTACAAACTGCTATGCCTGGCTACCTAGCTACAGGCCAGTGCTTACTGTACATCTACATTTAAGCATGTCTGTTTTTATTTATTTTAAAATTAAGATAAACTGGCTCAGTAAATGAATATTTGCCAGCATCACAGTATGGCCAAATCCTTGACAGTTTCTTATCCCTGCCCAGAGTCCACTGGTAAGTTGCCATTGCTACTTATAGTGCTGAACCTTAAGGATACAGCTGAAAATGACAAGTAACTATTGCAAAAAATAATGCAACAGCTATATGCTGTTTACTATAATTACTTCCAAGTGGGCTGAAATGTGAACAGGTTCTCAGTAATTCCGAAGTGCTCTTTGAAGCAGGATATAAAATCCTGAAATAGCCATTAATTACAGCCTCATGTCATGGGAAAGCCCTATGAAGGTCAGGCTGGGTCAGCAGGGAAGGCCATGACTCGGGGCAGTGTCTGAATTTATCACCATAAAGCCCACGCTCTGGAGAGTGTGACATAAGGGAGCTATGTGAGGGCCCTCCCTGGTGGCGCAGTAGGTTAAAGCACAGCACTGAGAAGCTTAAGCCACTTCCGCGTGAGTTCGATCCCAGCCTGTCCCGGAGGTGACCACATGGCGTGGCAGACCTCTCCTGACCCACCCGCTGCTGACCCACCCACTGCTCCCCTCAGCAGTGTACTTTGTTGATCTGCCTGTTCTGCTCCTGACTCTGTCCCTGGTGAATCCTCTCACCCTCCGTATCTCTGGCCTGTACCCCAGTTCTGTATGAATAAATAAATAAATCTTTAAAAAAAAAATGAGCTATGTGAAATGTTATACACATACTATCCAAGAGTAAAACCGCTCACAATTTCAATTTGAAAAAGAGCACATTGGAGCCTTGAAATGGGGTAAGAGATAAGAGGGTGCTGAGGAAAGATAAAGTCCAGTAAAGGCCTAGAGGAGACAGAGACAGAGAGGAACTGCTCATGGCCAGGGGAAAGCTGAAGGACATTTGAGCTGTGCTGGTTTGGCTTTAATTTAAGGATCTTCCCATGCAAAAATATACCCTGACTTTATTCCAAAACTTAACGCAGCCCTGCTATATACACACTTTCTAGAAGTAAGGGAAACAGAAGAGCAAGAAAGTCAGTGCTCAGTACAGAATTTTCAGGGATATAAACAATATTCTCTTACAACTCTGTCCACTTCCATCCAGCACTCCAAAGACTCCAGGAATGAAGGCTGGGCTCTCCTCAGAGGTACTGCACTGTGAGAGCACAGACTTAGACTCAAGCTGTTTTGGTTTCCTAGAACAGTACGGGCTAGGCTGCACAAATCTAAGCCAAACCTTCTTCAGAGACATTTGGAGGGTTCCTGCATTCTAATATTTTGCTTGCTCTCCTTTTTCCCTTTTAGCAGCCTTGGTAATCCTGTACAATCACATTTAACATTCCGGTATTATTCTAAAATCAACATTAGTAGATAACTGAACTAATCACAGGTAAGAGTTTAGGCCTGGCTATGAACAATTTTGGTGTCTACAGTTGTACTGAAACTATTTATTAGGGCTCTCCCTAGTGGCGCAGCAGGTAAACGCAGCACTAAGAAGCTAATTCATGCCACTTCAGCATGAATTTGATCCCCGGCCCTGGAGGTGACCCACATGGTGCGGCAGACCTCTCCTGACCCGCCCGCTGCTCCCCTCAGCAGTGTACCTTCCTCAGCCAGCCTGTTCTGCTCCCAACTCTGTCTCTGGTGAATCCTCTCACCGCCCCTGCACTTCTGGCTTGTACCCCAGTTCTGTATGCATGAATAAATACATTAAAAAAAAAACACGATTTAGTAGTATCTAGTTCAAGTTGGATTTAAATATCTTGAGCTCTCAACCTCACATCCTTTATCTTGCTGGATAGTATAGGAAAGAGGGAAGATTTTTAAGTTGAATAGATTTAGATTTGACACAGGATTCTGCCAAGTACTACATATGTGAATTTGGCTATACCATTTAACTGATGCAAACTTAATTTTCAATCTCTTTTTTAAAGATTTATTTATGTATACAAAACTAGGGTACAAGTCAGAGGTGCAAGAGGTAAAAGGATTCACCAGAGACAGAGTGGGGAATAGAACAGGTGGATCAACAAAGTACACTGCTGAGAGGAGCAGTGGGCGAGGCAGGAGAGATCTGCTGTACTGTGTGGGTCACTTCCTGGCAGGAAGTCGTAGTGCTGTGCTTCAACCCGTAGTGCCACTGGGGAGAGCCCCAATTTCTCCTAATTTCTTAATAGTTAGATTAACTTATCTAATTCTCAGAGATGCAACAAGGATTGAATAAACTGACAATTAAAAGAGCCCACAGCATTTGTGAACAGTACAGATTTAATAAAAATCTGCCTGATTAGCCCAAAGGCTTTCTTCCTCAGAGTGGAACTTACCTGTTCCTACCCCAAGACTACAATGTTACAGGGGGAGAAACACGCTCCAAGAGTTCTTTAGTAAAAACAGTCACACAGAATAGGCACTATTTACTCTCTACATGGGCAAGCGATAGATCAATTCATCTACTCTTGCCTCTGCTTCCACTAGAAAGTCTGCCCTTATATTGCTGGAGAGCAAGTCCTGCTGTGTTTACCTGCCTGGGTGCAGGCTATAACTAAACAGTCTAACCGGACCTCTGGGAATGTGATGGGAGACTTGTAAGGTTCTGTATGTTTGGCCTAATTTGGACACAATTACCATTTTCTCTGTGGGTCAACATGTAAAACGGAACAGTTTAGAAAGTGAGAAGAGTGAGTGCAGAGTCAAAGTGGAGCCAAAAGAGGTCCCTTAGGGGGGCTTTCTGTGAGAAAGCAAAAAGGAATAGAGCAACATAAAAGAACAGGGAGGTAATATAGTCTGAATTTTCTGCAGGGCTCCAACTTACATAATCTCATGATTTACAATAATAACTGAAAGTCATGAACACCATCATGAAGTACCACTAGGATGTTACAATCAAAAATTGTTGGTGAGCCGATGGAGAAACTAGACCTCTCAAACCAAGCTGGTAGGAATATGAAATGGTATAACTGTTTTGGAAAGGAATTTGGCACTTCTTCACAAGGTTAAACATAATAGAGTTACCATATGAATAGTACAACAATTCTATTCACAGGTAAAATAAAAAACATTCACAAAAAAATTTTGCACGAAAGTTCACAGCGACATTACTCACAACAGTCCAAATGTCCATGATGATGAATGGCTGCATAAAATGTGGGATATCTAGACAGTGGAACATTATTTGGCAATATAAAGAAATAAAGTACTGATACATGTTATAACGTGGATGAACCTTGAAAATATTGTGCTTAGTGCAAGCAGTCAATAAGGTATCACATGTTGTATAATTCTACTTAAATAAAATATCTCAAACAGGCTAATCAGCAGAGGCAGAGAGACACTAGAGGTTGCCCAAGGCTGGAAAGTTAGGGGCAAGAGAGGAGTGACTGTAAATGGTATGGAGTTTCTTTCTTGCTGGAAAGACGACATGTTCTAAGCTTGTGGTGAGGGTAGTACAATGTGTGAATACACTAAAAAACACTGAATTATACACTTTAAATGGTACATAATATGGTATGTGAACTATCTTTCCCTAAGTTGTTAAACAAGAAAACTAAAGCACCTGGAAGTGACATTTCAGTGTTCAGACTGCATCTCCCAGACTCGCACACCTTCTTTGGAGTCATCAAAACCCTCTGTCTGACCATATGGTTCAGAAAATAATGGTTCATTGTAAAAAAAAAAGAACAGAAGTACTCAACCAAAGAGGGGCCCTTGTGTGCTCATACTTATGTAGTATTTTAAACAAAGGTTGGGTAAAGAAAAGGCATTACTCTTTATACCTTCTACATCTGAGAGAACAATCAAGAGGTCAGTTTTCATTTCCACAGCCAGCCGGGCAGCCAAGCTATCGTTATCTTTAACACTAATAACCTGGAATGGAGGTTAAAAAAAAAAGGTCACAAAAAATGAGTTAGGCAGCTTGCAAAAGTTTACAGATGCATTAAGCTGGCTCTGGTAGGCAAAACCAATGACCACAACTATGAAGTTGACAGCTCCGCAGGCCCTTCTGTTTGCAAAACACAATGCCTACTGGCAACCCCATTTCCTAACATGTACCCTCTTTCTCTCTGCTGACAAACACAGCCATGCTCATAGCATCATCTAAAATCACAGCAGCACCTCACCCAGCTGAATGAAACGCCCTGACTTCAGAGAAGCTTATGCAGTCACTACTCATAATGCCATCTTCTTCCCCAATTTCTCCATCTTGTTTATGCCAAACTTCCAATGTTAGTATAAGCTGCACAGTGTGGTGTTAGTATTCCCAGCATGCTCAACCCTTAAGAATATTTTACCCACATTTACCCCCTGGAGGTCACTGTTGGGCTCTGCTGGGGGTACAACAGCATCATTTGTGTTGACAATAGGGACGATGTTCATTCGTAGGAGCTCATGAAGAGTTCCATTGAGGTTCCTGCGCTTCTGCTCATCATGGAAATCCAAATTGGTCACCAAAATCTAAAAGGAGTAAAGAGATGGATGGCTAATGCAGGACGGAATGATGAACTTCCCAATAGCAGTATACAAAGGATGCTAAATGTAAAGGAATTAAATTTTAGACTTCTGGGATCCCATACAGATTAGAATGAGCATACATCTTTGCTTATCAAATTCTTTTAGAAATGGGAAAAAAGTTAGAATCACTTAGGTTTATTTAAGGATGTTTAAACCTTGAAGAAGTACTTAAATCCTTAAAGTACTACCAAAACTCATACATGTATAAAATCAAGAAAATTAATGTATCTACTTTAGAGGGATATTGGGGAAAGTAATGATTATCTATGCTTTCGTAAAATATCTCAGGATCCTAGCATCTGATTCAGGGCTGGGATCTTAGGTACTTACATCATAAGAGTGAGTGAACAAATGGTTCCCTGTGCTTGGAAAGTGGATTAGACAAAAAGGAGGAGGGCTGAGCGGTGGCTGTTCTTTCCCTGCAGCTGATCACATTGTATTTAACAAAGGCTGTGTCTGAGCACATCGGATTAAGCTAAGAGATTTGTGCAGGTGAGTTTTTAGTCAAATATCGAAAGAAGGACTAGACATAAGTTAGTTCAGAGGAGGGAAAGAGCAAAAAGTTGCGCAAAGGTAGAGAGGAGAGTTGGGTGGTGGGCTGGTAACAGTTCTGCTTCCTGCTGGCTCAGAGTATCAATATCATTTAGAAGGAGAGAAAGATAAATAGAGATGACAACAAGAAACTGAATAGTAGCAAATCCTGAAGTTCAAGAATAAAGGTCTCCATGAAATCCACCCCCAATGTCCAGGGGAGAGAGTCCCCGCTGTGTAGGGCAGGCTAATGAAGGAGAGGTTGGTCTCAGTGGTCAAGGCGGAAGATACTGAAATAAAAGTGGGAGTGGTTATGCCCTGAACCAGGTCTGGCTATGGTAACTGAGAAAATAGCCTTAACAATATGTAAAACACAGTGACTGCTCAGTTGCTTTGTGTTTTGTTTCTGTTTGGTGCAGGGTGATGAGGACAAAATGGCGATGAAGACAAAATGGTGACAAGACTAGGGGAAAGGATTCACTCACTCACAGAAAAAAATGTTATCAAGTATCTTGGAAAGATCAGGTCCTATATGAGCTGCTGGCTTGGAAAATAAAAAATGCTGGTGGTCTGGGGAAGAAAGAATGAGGCACATTTAGATACAAATCAGTCATTTCTATGAAGAAAACATAAGCTCTTGTGGTCGTTCAGTCCTTAATATGACAAACTACTTTCCAAAAGTCACTGATTAAGGTCTTCAAAACAGGATCACCAAAGAAAACAAGGAACCCAACAAAAAGGAACAAAGAACAAAGGTTTCCTGTGGATAAGGCCACAGGGAAGTGGAAGGTGTGAGAGAAAAGGGGCCCTGGACACTCACTGCAACTGCAGGAGCCGCAGGCTTTCACATCCACTCCAAGGGAGGGACAGCACATGTGCACTGACTGCTGGGCTACTGTTGCAGAGACAAACTAAAAACCCTCAAAAAATCTTCCCAGGAATAAAACAAAAGCATAGCTCCTGTACTTAAAATTTTCTCGATTGCTTCCAGGCACTTTGAAAAATTACAGACTAAAATTACTACTAGATTGTGGAGGAGAGTAGCACTGATAATAAAGTGTGACAGAAATGCAGGTTTGTTGTATTTATGCTAACAGAAAGCAAATCTACAATTACAGAGTGGGGTCCCCAGTTATGGGCAGCAGGTAGACAAGCCCATGATTTTGTTTCAGCTCACTCATTCAAGTTACTCTGGCATAAACCAGGGCATCACATAGACAGTAACTATGAAAATGATGGAGAAACAAAAAAAGCAACCGTAAATGCAAGAGCAAAACCTGGAAGGGTGTATGTAACATCACCTGTGCGAAACAGCATCTGTATGAATGGGAGAATCTGAGGCAGCAAAGGAGTTTTCGGAAAATAACAACTTGGGGATTTTTTTCTGTTGCTTTGTGATGTGAGTGCTCAGTTGCTTTGTGTTTTGTTTCTGTTTGGTGCAAGGTGTACTGTTAATTTAGAAAACTGAAAAAATCCTGGGAATTTAGGTAAAAAAAAAATAATGTGGAAAGGTTTTAAGCAACATTCAGAGGGTAACCACTGAAGATTTTTAAGTTCCATGAGGACTAAAATCACAGCTGATATGTTCACTACGGCATCCTCAAATGCCTAAAAGACTCCTTGCTACACCAGAGGCGGTCAATAAATATTTTCTTTATGAAGGAAAAACCAATCCCCCCAGCATTCCTTTTTCTCTTCAACACTTAACCAATATCTAGCTTGTAAGGCAATAGATGCAAAGAATTCAGAGAAATCAATGAAATAATGACATCTAAGTTTTCTATCTTCAGAAGTCTTAGAACCTGTGGTAGACCTAAGGATTACTTGTATAATAAAAAGAGTTAACACTTCTAGAGAATGTACTGTATACCAGACATTACAGTAGATATTCTGATTGGGTCTTTTTGAAAACTTTGATATAGGCCTGGATATTATCCTCATTTTTAAGACGAGGAAACTGAGACAAAAAAAGGTTAGATTTAAAGACCTTCTCTGGATCTCCCAATGAGTAAATGGTAAAGCCAAGATCCAATGTTCTGCTTATAATTCCCTTGCTCCATGGGAGAATCAACCTCACAGTTTCCCACAACCCCTTGCAAAGGCCAGCTTCTCACCTGAGCAGCACAGATGCTGTACTGGGTGAACATGGCCTCATATAAGGCCATCAGCCCACTCTGTCCGGCGGCTGCACAGGCTCGTGCTTCCAAGACGGGAATTGCCTGTAACACACCAACAGACAAGGTGTTGTTGGAGTGAGGGGACATCTAAGGAGCTCTGTTCCATGGGGTAAGGGGTAGGGAGGAAGCACTCACCATCTCCTTCAGCTGGTTCTGCCCTGAGTGCAGGGCTTGCCGCACACTCTGTGACAGAAGGATCTCATGGCGCAAGCGTTGCTTGCCAAAAGCCACAGCACCACTGGTCACCAGCATCATTTCTCGGCCTTGATTCTGCAGCACTGATACCTGACATTGAAGAATAAAAAGGTGTTTTGAGTCACTGTATCATCTCTTTCCTTTTATGACAGAGTCAGGTAGGGTAGATTAATGAATGAATTGGATCCCAGATGCTGGTGTATAGGCCAGCACTGGGCTGGTTCTGGAAAAATCACCAACTTTATTCTGTAAAAACACAGATTACATATGATGCCTCAAAAATAAGGAGGTGCTAGGTAGAAAGGTGCCACTGTTCTTAATGGTGCCTATAGTGCAGAAGGTAGAGTTTTTTTCAAGGAAATATAGTACAGAAGCTCTGGAATTAAGAAATGCAACATAAACTTAGCAGAGGGCTTCTCAGATTCTAAGGCTTGACCTGGAGATTCTAAGGCTTGACCTGAGGGTCAGCAGCTGTTTCTGAAGCATGTCTGATCACATGGGTCACTTCTGTCTGACCAGGGACAGAAACATACTCTACTCTCCTCTGTTTGCCTGGAGCCAGCTGTGGTCCTTGCAAAGGTTCCATGAAATAATCAAAGATTGGGGTGCTTACACTCAATATTCCCAACCTATTTCTCTGTGGTTTATATAGTTCATTACTATATATCCTGTAAACTTCGTGATTTTGTAAAAAAAAAAAAATTCTTTATAGTGAGCATGATGTCCATCAAGGGGACACATGCCTGGCTGTCTCTTTTTTTTGGTAATGTTAGAAGGTATTGATGATCCCTGTAAAGGTCTACTAGTTCAGATCTTCCCATCTTTGGCTGGTGGAAGTCACTTTACTTTGACTCCTGAGTTCATCTGACATGACCAGATGTTTTGGAAAAATAGCTGACTTTGCCTAGCGGGACTGCCCTGAACTAGAAAGCCTTCCATTAGGCTTCAGGTGTCCCTTGAAGGATAGCTGGTAACCTATTTAGACCATTAGCAGGTTCTCCCTACCATTTCTCTCAAGTTCCTCCTCTGCTCAAAATCTTCAGTCTGATTCTCAGGTGAAACCCAAATTCCCCTATCTGGCTTCAAAGTCCAGCCTAATGGAATGATTGATGCTATTTCCCACTCTCCCTGAGGAAACCACCACCAAAGCTTTCAAGTCAGCATGCCAAATTCATTCCTGTCTATGTCCTTCATCTGAGATTCACTTGGAGAGTCTCCCTTCTCCAGAGTCACTGGCTTGCATAGCTCCAGGGGCACCATTCATACTGCAATCTTGGCAGTGTAGAACAGCTTCTCTAGTCAGTGCAAATCCTACCAAGTATGAAGGTCCAGACTTAACTCCAGCTCTCCTAAGAAGCCCAAGAAGAACCACACTGTCTTTCCTATTTCATTTCTCTTTCTATCGGTGGACTGGTCAGTCATTGTCACTCGGACCCACTCTTTTGGATATTTACTGCCTCAGCAAGTATCCAATTGTTTTGGGAATTCCAAAACAAATTCTAGTTTCCCAAAGGCAGAGATAACAGTTAGTGGCCAGTAAGCACCTCACTATGTAGCCCTTTGATAAATATTTGCTAGACTGAATTGACACAATCTAGGTGGCAGATTTGATAATAACTGCTTAGTTCAGAAAATGTAAGAAAAAAATTCCATCAAGTTTCAGGTTAGCAGTTTCCTGAGATACCTATTCCTCAGTAAAGTTGTTCATTAAAAACTGAAAATGTAGTTATGCAGTACAGAGTGCAGTCACAGCTTAAATGGAAAAAGCTTATGCTTTATCTCTGGGATGCTTTGGATAGCTGGTTTTTGATTATTTGATCAAGGGTTAAAAACTATAGCCTGCTCAAGATCTTCAATCTGATTTTGGCCTGTAGGTCAAAATCTAACCTTGCTACTTTTGTAAACAAATTTTTTTGAACAAAACTAGGCTCATTTATGCATAGTGTCTGATTGCTTTGGGGTACAATGGCCAAAGGCAGAGCTTAGTTTAAACAGAGACCATATAGTCTACAACGCCTGAAATGCTAATTATCTGGCTTTTTACACAAAAGTTTGCTGATCCCTGCTCTATGAAAAGATAAGGATAGTGGAACTGATGATGTGATGTTAAAAGTTCAAAATTTCTGTGCCAATCCCCAAGGTCAACTTCTTTACTAACAGTCTGTATGAGCCTGGATTACTGACTGCATGAACAGGGGGGCATAAAACCCCCAATGGAAATTCTGCTTTAAGCTCTTCCAAAGTCAAGATTCTGTGCACAGACCTCTTGGTAATTCAATCTGGAGACTGAGTGTGATCTCTCTATGAACAGAGACAATGCTGGCACACAGGACATCAGATTCCCAATGCCTGGGGTACTTTTTCTTACTGCCTTGTATCTTTTATTATTAAGCTAAAGTCTTACATGAATATTCTCTTTGGAGTCTGGTGAATCTTTTCAAATATCTGAACATAGGAAATCTTTGCAATGACAGCTTTCAAGATTATTTCAAGATTGGGTTAACTAAAAAAGAAAAAGTCAAGCAAAAATGGGGGGAAAAGCTCAATATTCATACATAACTCTTTGGACACTCAACTAACTAAATAGCAGAGTTGCCCAGGGAACTTTAAAAACACAGATGACTGAGTCCTACCTTAGAGCTACCTATTAAAGATACTAATTAAGCAGTTGAATGTGATGTCTAGACCATTCATGTCCCTCTGAAAATTCTAATATGCAGTCAGGATTAAGGATCCCTACCAAATACAGCTCCTCATCACTAAGAAGCCTAAGGGAAGAACTGCATGAAGTCATGCTACTGTGACACCTCTGCTTTCCTTGGGATGCTGTCCTCTATTGGTGGCTGCATTGGAAGCAAGTCTTCAAATTGGGTTAAACCTATCACAGTCACATCAAAATTATTTTCACATGCTGGTAAATCTGAATGAACAGCTTAGAAATCCTATTCTATTTTAGTACATCAGAATTTTCCATTTTGGCAGTTACCTGCTCAACAATAGATGCCAGGCGGCCCAGTGCCAGGCCACACTCATCCCCTCGGGTCACAACAGCACTTCCAAGTTTCACCACGATTCTCTTGGCATGCTTCAGCTCACTGCGGTGGGCAAAAGACTTGCCGTGTGCACGGCTGAGGGGTACCGTGATAAATGGTATGTTGCTCCAGGAACGAACATGTCTGATGGCTGAAGGCTGGACACGATCTGTGAGGTCCAAGAGCAAAGTCAAATGAAAGAAAAGAAATAAACAATGTAATTTCTCATTAAAAAGATGCATGCACATTATTATGCCACCCCCAAACAGCTTTATTATCCTTGACTGAGTAAAACCAGTGTTTCAATAGCCATATTTACCTTGTTCTTATGCTGGTATTATGTTGTACTTACACCTCGTACAGTTCACAGGCACATTCAAATAGTGCTGGAAAGAGTTTAAATGAAACAATCTTTCCCGAACATGTGTTAGCAAAATACACAAAAACTCTTTAAATTTTTTTCTCATCATTTCATACAGCAATTCCAAGTTCAGAAATTTATTCTAAAAAACTAATGAAAGATGGGGCCCTCCCTGGTGGTGTGTTGAGTTAGCAGGCAGCACTGTGGGGCTGTCCGCAGCCGGGAGTTGATCCCCAGCCAGGGAGGTGGCCCACATGGGGCGGCAGACCTCTCCTGACCCGCCTGCTGCTCCCTCAGCAGTGTATTTCCTCAGTCCACCTGTTCTGCTCCCTACTCTGTATCTGGTAGGCTTCTCACCCCCCTGCATCTCTGGCCTGTACCCCAGTTCTGTATACATAAATAAATAAATCTTAAAAAAAAAACTAATGGAGACAAAAAGATGTTATCAGAAGACCACTCATAGGGTGTTATTTATAAAAGGAAAAATCAGATGCAAAGAAAATGCCCCAAAAGGAGTAGAAGATAAATTAACATTTTCAGAATTTTTTATGACATAGGAAAATGCTTATGTTATAATTTAAAATATATATATAACTATACAGGAAAAAAATGATGTAAAAATGAATATAACAAATATTTTCTTTTTTAGTGGGATAATGGATGCTTTTAATTTTATTTTTATTCTTGTCTATATTTTCCAAATTATGCAGTAAAAATGCATTGTTTTCATAATCATAATACATATGCTTTATTAAGTATACCATTAGAAAAGAGGATAAATCTGTTCAGCAAGATGATAAAATATACAGTAATTGCTATAAATATAAAAATGGTAACTAATACACCTACAAGTTTTGTCCCTGACATGGCAGCATGAATCCAGATGGCTGTAGCAATGATAGAAGAAAATGGATAGCTCTCTGAAGAAAAAGAAACATTAAGACTCAAATACTGCCTCTTCATTCTTTTATCCATCCCAAAGCAAGCCTTCTAGACTTGCTTTTTTTTTTTTAATGCTTTTTTTTTAAAAAGATTTTATTTTATTTGTGCATACAGAACTGGGATACAGGCCAGAGATGTGGAGGGTGAGAGAATTCACCAGAGACAGAGTGGAGTGCAGAACAGGCAGATCAACGAAATACACTGCTGAGGGGAGCAGCGGGCGGGTCAGGAGAGGTCTGCCACACCATGTGGTCACCTCCGGGGCAGGCGGGAATCGAACTCATGAGGAAGCGGCTTTAGATTCTCAGTGCTGTGCTTTAACCCGCTGCGCCACCAGGGAGGGCCTAGACTTGCTTTTATTACAGTGCAAGGATTTCTAAGGAGGACTCTCCCAAACATATGAGCATTAAAGCGAAAAGTCAAGCAGCAAGAGCTGACAGCCAAGCACTCAACCTCTTCACCACTTCGCCTGAGTCCAGCTCTTACTGGCTGCCTACAAGTTCCCCACCCACCCTTTCTTTCACAAGTGAACAGTTCCCCAATCTGTAGCCAGGCACGGCTGTCACCAGTCAGAATACTGCTGTTCCAAACTTTCTTGCTCAGCAAGATATGGCCATGTGACTATGTTCTAGTTAAGGAGATACATGTGAAAATGCTATGTGGATTCTAGGAATTACTATAGAAAGAAAAAAATGCTTCCTTCTTCCTTAATATATCCTACTATTTGAAACATGGGTATGAAGGTAGGAGCTCAAGCATCATTTCAGTCCACAAGAAAGCACATTAAGAACTGTGAAGCAATGAGAAATACTGTGCATGGATGCCTGATGATTTCCCAGAGCTACTCTGGAAGCCTCCAATTGCCTCCCTCCTTTCAGGAACACCAGGCTTCTTTAAGGGAAAGAGAGAAAAAGGAGACTTTTATTCTGTCTGAGCCGTTATTATTTTGAGTTTCTGGTACGTGCACGTGATCTAATTGCAAGTGATGCAGCAGGAGAATGAGCACATGGGCAGAGGGGCAAGCTGGGCAGAGGAAGGTGACTGTGGACATCAGCTGTTGGTGGGTGGTCTCACGGCAAATGGACCTTTGCTTGATGGACTATCTGATCACAAAAAGTGACACAATCGGGAATGGAGGCTTTCAGCAGGCTAAACTTGAGGCTTTTCCTCTCCAAAGAGTTCTCTATGCAGCATTACAGGGAATGAATAGTTGTTTGAATGAACTACTAAAGTAATCATTCCACGCCACCTTTTGGACTTGCTATAATTGTATTATTACAGTACAGCTTTCTCCACTTGAATCAGCTATTATCACTTCCTTTTATATTATAAACAGATTTCTCACAATTTCTCTAGACCCACTGCTTTTATCTTCTACCCACTAGCCACTAACTCCTTTCCTAAGTATAATCAAGCTTCCCCACTTTTTCTCTACAATGTAAAACGGGGGGTAAAGCAGGCAGAATCTTGTCAAGGACCACAGGATCTGTGTGCTTTCCCTCTCTGTCTTCTTTCACATACAAATATTAGAAAGAACACTTTCAACACAGTTGTAAAGAATCTCCCCTTAAAGGAAAAAAAACACCCTTTTTTAAAGTGACTACTTTTCTGGTTATAAGATATAAGAGATATAAGAAAGAAGTCTTGCAGTCCAGTTCTTGGCACAAAGCTACTCAGGAAGCCCATCATCTGGGACAGAATTGGTGCTTGGCATCCTTGCTAATCCACAGGTGATTACCCTTCCTACTGGAGACTAATGAACTGATTGCTTTGTTCCATGAAGAGCTCTTTTTTCATTAGATTATCAATATAGGTGCTCTGGTTCAGTCTTCAGGAATTTTAACCTAAGCATTACACACACATACATACACACATACATACATATACAATACATACACACACACACACCTAAATCAAAGTTTAAAAGTTGAATACATCTTGGTCTTGCTGATCTAAGAGAGGGGTGGTAGTGGGACAGCCCCTTGGGACTAGGACCTGGGATTATGAGAGGTTGCCTGCAGAGCTCAGAGCTAAAAATCACTTTGACATAGGTCTGTACTGGCCTGCTGGCCATTTCTGTCTCCTGTCCAATGTAGGACTTGTCCTGCCTCGGAAGGGTGCTGAGCAAGGTGGACAGCCCAGGAGGGCATCATAGGATACAGGCTGTGGCACTCACGTCAGTCTAGGTACCAAAATGCAGAAACCAATCAGAATCCAGCCAGCAAGATCACCATGAAAAAGACACCCAACTCAAGAATGTATCAGCAGAGGAGGGTGGGGTGGCTAGGTGCCGGTCAGTCAAGTGTCATTCTAGCTACAGCTGGGTCATGGCAAATCAGTGGTTTCAAGCACCAAGGAGAGCTCTATGGGATCTTAGGCTTTCTGTGATTCCTGTTCAACAACGCTTTTGCATTCCCAGTTGACCTTATCTTCTGGAGGGTATTTTTTTTTTTTCGTTCTTCAGTTTGTTATGCTTTTTTAGGGTCCATTCTAATGTCTGAGAAGGCTTTAATTAGTTAGGAAAAACCCAAGGCTTATGAGTACATATTCTATACCCATTTGAGGTAAGAGGGATGAGAGGATTCACTAGAGACAGAGTGGGAGAATAAGCAGATCTATTGAAATACACTACTGAGGGGAGCAGCAGGCAATACAGGAGAGGTCTGCTGCACCACGTGGGTCAGCTCCTTGGTCAGTGATTAAGCTCATGTCACTGTGGCTGGTGATTGCTTGACAATGCTGAGATTTAACCTCTTGCACAACCAGGGAGGCCCCACAATACTTTAAAATTTCTATCAACAGGTGGAGTCTGCTTTCCTATTTCTTGAATCTGGACTGACCCCGTGACTTGCTTTGACCAACAAGATAGAGAAGATGGAACACTATAAATTCCAACCCTGTGAAAACACGTGAAGAAGTCAGGGATAGGCTTCTCAAGGAGAGACCATGTGGAACTGAGATGCTCCATTAGCTCAGCTGAGCCTCACTGCCCCAGCCCCTCAACAATTAGTTCTGAGCCAGAGTGAGAGCTGACACAGATGCAGACACAGAACCACTGTGCAGCTGAACTAGGTCCAGAGATTTCGGATCTAATCCACAGATGTTACTAAATTACTAAAGTAGAAGCACAGCCAGTTTTTAAACCCAGGGAGCCTCTCATTCCAGACCCTGAACTTTTAAACTTTTTATTACATGAATAGGAAATAGAGGTTTTTCTGGATAATGATAAACAGAGCTAGTTGATAAGCAAGATATCTTGCAGCCAAGTGTAGAAATATACTACTGATAAGATGTAGTTGATATCAAGGAGATAGTGAACTCAGCATTTCACAAAGTCTTTTAAAAATGGATGCTGACAGCATGGATCAACCTCATTGACATATTACCTAGTGTGCAAGATTAGAAATTAGGAAAGTGATTTTCCTTAATATGGGTAGGAACTGCTACTGATCAAAAGGCAACATGAGGTGGGGGGTACTTTCTATAGTTTGATAATGTACTGTTTCTTCATGTGCTTTAATTACATTAGTGTGTTCACTTTTTGGGGGTGAGGGAGAAAGGAGTTGGTCAATTAGTCATAAATAGGCAAAAAATGATCTAAACCTCACGCTTTATATAAAAGTTAACTCAAAAAGGTTTGTGGATATAAATGAGAAGCCGTTAAATTTTCTGATAAGAGAACAAAAGAAAACTTTCAAGATTTAGCAATATACAATTAACTTTCAGACTTGACCCCAAAAGTACAATCCATGAAAGGAAAATTTGATAAACTGATCTTAAAATACACACATACACACACACAAATCAAAACCAAAAGCTTCCTCTGTGAAAGACTATTAAGCGAATGAAATGAAAAGCTATAAGCTGAGAGGAAAAAATACTTTCAAACTACAAATCTAATCAAGGAAGAATTAGCATCCAGACAACACAAAATCTAATTAAAAATGAGCAAAAGACATTTCACCAAAGAGAACATATAGATGGGTAATAGATACACGAGAAGATGTTCCACATGACTAGTCACCAGGGAAAAGCGAGCTATCCTGTGCCCATCAGAATGCTGCCAACAGGGGCGACGACGGCAAATGCCGGCAGAGGGAGGGCAGCGCCCCTCCGCGGCTGCTCCGAGGGCGCCGGGAACAGCCGCTCTGCCAAAACTGTCTGCAGCTTCTTGGGAAACTAACTAAATAAATTTGAACTCTTGGACACTTACCCTAGAGAACTGAAAACTATGTTCACTCAAAGAAACAACCAATGTCCTTCAGCTAGGTGAACAATTAGTTGCTCTGTGTGTACCGATATTCTGCAGTAGTAACAGGGAACCAAGGATATATACACTCCAGAGAATTATGCGGCGTAAAAGAGCTATCCCAGATGGTTACATACTATATGGTTTCATTTATACAACACTGTCGATATGACAAAATTATAAAAATGAAAAACAGATTTGTGCTTGCCAGGGGTTAGGGATGGGGAGGATGGGAGAGCTAAAAAGGGGAGGAATTTGAAGAATCTTGTAGTGATGGAAATGTTCTTATCTTGACTGTGTCAATGTTAGTATCCTGGCTGATCTATTGGGAGAATGATGTAAAAGGGATCTGTCTTACTGGTTTTAATAACTGCCAATCAATCTATAATTATTTCAAATTAAAAACTTATTTCAATAACAGTAATGAGCAAAAAGTAGCCTGTAAAAAACTGGGGGCTGGGGCAAAGGAATAGGCAGGTAATGAAGATAGGTAACTAAGTATGTAAAAAAAAGTTTTAGTTCTTTACTTGACATACAAAAACCTGTGTAACATTGATGTCTATCATCAATGAGTTTGGAGATAAGTATACAGCTGTGACACCATTACTACAATCGATGGCAGAGATGTATCTATCACCTCCAAGAGTTTCACTTTATTGATAAACACAACAATTTACTAGTAGGCTGCTTCCTTGTTTACTAATTTTGGCCAACTGCACCAAATTACTTTTTCTATATATACTTAAAAATTTCCTATGGTACATACGAGATCTGGAAAGCATTGTGGACTGGACCCAGGACAGGAGATGCTGGTGGACGGGCTGGAACCCGGAGCGGTAGACTTGACTCAACATCCTTGATGTGCTCTATGAGCAGTGTCTACAGACTACATTAAAAAAGATGAGAAATATGAGACATTTCATTTCATTTCCCCATTCCAAGTACCTAAATTTAACTGTCCTGCTCAAATTTTCACTTCCTCTATATATGGCCTTACCTTCTACCTGCCTTTCTTAGGACCACCTTAGTTTTTATGAAAACAAATGGCAATTAAAGATTACGAATGTTTTGAATGACCAAAAAAAAAAAATTAAGGTACAATGTTTATGTCCTGATACTAAATCTTCATAATTCCTATACTTCAGGGATCACCAATAGATCAGTAACAGATCCAATGTCCCATAAACAGCCATCTTCACCTTCTGGTTAGCATCTCCCAAAAGACCTATGAAAAGCACATATGTGAACTGTCAGTGTGGTCCTGCTGACAGAAAGGGAGAAAAAGCCAGAGACTGCTGCCACATCTTTCTTTTTGCTCCCCAAAGGAATCTAAAACATATGTGCATCCCTGGGAGGGGACGCAAGTCTGCAGTGGCATTTTAAATGACCACAGGCACATCCTGCATGACCCTGAGCATATAAGCCCCTGGTCCACATTTGGTGCTTACATAAATTCCTTTGGTAACTGTTGCTAAACAATTAGTTATGTGTGAATTCTCCAAAATGCCTATATAAGCCAAAAGGCAAAAGAATCAAATATTAACACTGAAATTCTAGTTCTATTTCTTTTATGACACCTGTCCCATCGACTAGCATTTGAAGCTGGACATAATCCTGCAGGATTAGGTAGGATGTAGGATGTCCAACTTTGAATGCTACAGTCTGCACTTAGCCAGTTCATATGTAACCTTTCATTTCCCCACCTGGGAAACTTCCCACTCAGTAAACAAGATAGAACATGGATTTGGGAGTTGGACACATTGTGTTTGAGCTCTGCACTTGGTAGCTGTGCATCTTTTGGAGGGTTACTTAATCTTTGCAAGCCTCAGTTCCCTCATTTATAAATCAGTGACAAAAACAGGAACTCATAGGATTATTCTGAGAATTAAAGGAAGCAATGCATAGAATACCTGGGGACAACAGACGCTGGATAAATTTCAGTTTTTCTCTTTCTGTCCTTTAGGCACTAACGATGTCTTACAACCCTTTATTTCCTTCAGGATCTGTCACAGGATACTTTTTCAGATGCATATAGTCACAGTTACTGACCATTTATCCCTCTCTTATCTAAGCGCAACTGAAAGCTCTGAATGTTTAAGGTCACTAAGTCATTAGTTAGAAGACTGACCTAGAAATGAAGACCCCTGACTCCGGTCCTATACTACACCACTCTGTCTGACCCTCTCTCACTGAAATGGAGAGCTCATTCTGCCAGTTTATTACCCCTCGAAAGGCAGGCCGCCGATTCCAGGGTGCAAAGGGTGTGTGTGTCTGTCTTTGTGTCTAGACTCAGTGTCATAGGTTGAAAAAAAGCTTCTACGTTTTGACTGCGGGTATTTCTCAAGTACGTCTTTCACACATTACAAACAGAAAGCCCTTATCTTACTGATTCTGACAGAGAACTGAACTTTAGCCGCAACCAACTTCACCCAGAAACACGGGTTTGGTATGTGGCTCACAATTTTAAAGTCCGGACAAATCAATCTCACTGCATCAGAGCAGAGCAAAAAGCTGGGGTG